TGATCATAGAGAGTGTTATAAATTAGAAATTTGAATAATTTTCGTATAACAGCGCCTGCAGCAAACAAATATAAATCATCTTCTTCTTATTCTTTAACATTCTTATTGAGATTTTTTATTGATACTGAAACATAAAACTCGGACGATTTTATTGTATTTTTATGTCAACCACCAGATGTTTAATTAATTAATGAATTCGCTATTCCGAACACGATACCTGGGATTAAGTATCGAAATTTCTCTAAAGTATATCTACATTATGTCGATTTACCATAAAATTTATAAAAGAGCTAACTGCGGCTGTCTACTATTCCACCTGTTAATCTTTTTCTCACAGGTATCGAGATATTTAGTTCCTGGGAAACTGAAGAATGTTTCACAAGAGCAATAACCAAAATTGTTTAATTTCGTTGATATTAAAAAGCGGTTTAGGGTGTATTTTTCACACCCAGCACCGAAGCACGACGTATATATTCATTTCGTCAAAACGTATGTAACGCTCAGAGAGAAACATCGGATATCCAAGAAATTAGCATCCAAGTCTAAATCGATTTAATCATGTCCCTCTGTCCATCCGTCCGTGTGTGTAAGATCAGTTGTAAGAATTCTCCCCGCCATAAAAGTGAAGCTGTCGATTTCAAATTTGGCAGAAATTTTGAAAATTCTTGCATGCAGGTTGCTATTGGGCTATTGGGCCACATAGGTGTGGAGACGCGCCCACAACAGCACATAACCCGAGAACACTTGTTTTTAAAAATGAATAACAAATTGCTTTCTTCCTCAATACTCATAAACTGTAGCAGAAAAATCTACAAAAATTTAAAAGCATGTTCTATGGGCGTTACTGTAGCGCCTTTACCAAATGGCAGAACATTGATCACGCCTACGCAATATTATAGTGTATCAAAATTTAATTTTTTTTTCAATACCTTTATAAGTCGCCGACACAAGCTTCAATAACCCCATAAGGTGTATAAATTCTTGGCCAATTTCCAACTTGGAATGCACCTAAACATACCCGTCTGCGCGTCTATTTATCTGTCCGTCTGTGCTAATGTGTAGTATTTGTGGTAAACTTTCACCCCTTAGATAAAATGAAGATATCGCCTACAAATTTACAAAAGAATTTAGAAGTGACTTAAATTTTTCCAGGCGCGCGACACAACGCCCACATCCCTATGCGACAAAAATTTTTATTTTGAAAATGAAAAAAAATCAGCCATATATACCTTATGCTGCCGTATGTAGAGGTTACCAGTTCTCATCTAATAAATTGTAATAAAATATAATATATTATGTAGCATACAAAATATATTCTATCTGTTCTCCCTTTAATACAATATATGAGAAATATATATGTTATTATTACATTATATTATATTAGGTATGTATAATAAATATATGTAATATATTTCATGCGATAAAATATAGTATATTATATTCTAATCTGCCTGAGCGGATGAAGGCGAGGAACCTCGACTGGTAACTGAATGGTCATGGGTTTGAAGTCTCAAGTGCCGTAAAGTTTTTAATTAAAAAAATTTGGATAGCCGATAGAGGCTAGTGCTTTAAGAGTTCAGTCTTAGAATTTATTCCTCTGGCGAAATTAATAATAATAATAATAATTGTATTCTATGTTTTTATATATGTTCTGCATTATGCGCATTATGTTCTGAACATAGGCACATACGACCGAAAAGTATATCATACGACCGAAAAGTATAGCATACGACCGAAAGAAAGAATTCGTGTAAAACAAGTGTTGGCAAACCGTGTTATTTACAAATCGTGTAAGAAACCGGGTAAAGGATGTTCTATGATGTAGAGCGTGTTCTATGTCTTATGTTTTCCTTTTTACTATACGTTCCTTTCTCTCTTAATAAAAATAAAAAAAAATTTATGGAAAAGAATAATTTATTATTATTATAAATTAAATCAATTATATGCAATAAATTTAGGAATATAAATAAATAGATTCCCTTTGTATAAGCAGGACTGTTAGATTGCTGGTGAACAACGCATTACCTACGCTTACTTGGTCTGCTTACGTTTCCTCTATTATCGTAAAGATTGTTTAGATTTTTCGAACATATTCGCTAATAAATTGGCAAAAAGAAGAAAAAGATGAATATCATGACTCTGGACCGAAGATTAATAACATTTTTTTGTAGGCTAGCGTTTTGGAAGATGCCAACACCGTAAAAAGTAACAGACGCAACTTTTGGAAAATTTTAGTAAGCGTCACAACTGGTAGCATATACTTCGACTGCGTAAATAGCTGAAGTCCTTTTGTATAACCTACCATGAAAATTGCAATTTTTTTTGCTCTTACTTGAAAGTATTGCCAACACTTGTCAGCGATGCTGCGTTTCGTTTTTGTAACAGAGTAGTCAAAGTAAAAGGAACATACTATAACCAGTGACAATTTATTTTACGTGGTTTTTTTTTTTTTTTTTTTTTTTTTTTTGTTTTCTCTCGCCAATGTGACATTTCCTAGAATTCTCATGCGGTTTTGTTATCAGATCAACATCAAATGTTGACAAATATTTACAGTCTTTGCTTTGCTTTACAATTCGCCTACAAAGCGTAGAAACATCAATTATCCTGTGCACTATGCTGGATGGTGTTGGTGTTAGTGATAAGTCTGACTTGTAGTTCGAGTTGTTCTTCCTTTTTTTTTTTTTTTTGTGTTATAGATCAGCAGGATAAATCTTCTATCCGCAGCGTATAGCGTAACGAAAACGTTAACCACGTGATATTTCATTTCCATGACCGACAACCGCAAACATGGTTTACAATGAAACCAATACACAAAACAAAAACATGGCAGAAAACCAAAAAAAAAAAAACAAAAACAAGGAAAGAAAAAATCAAAGACAAATACTTTAAAAGTGTTGACGCTCTTGAAGAACAGCAAAACAGTAGCTGGTTGCAAAACAGAGAGGTGTTTAACACATGTTTCGGTAGGCAACGAATAAATTGTAAAAATTCTTTTTAAAAATTTTAATGATAGATTTTTTGTATTTTTGTATTTTTTTTATTTTAACCTATAGACGTGTTGTAGGAAGGTAACCTGTTTACTTTCTTGCAGAAACTATATAAAAAAAATAAAAAAAATTTTGTTTACATAGTTCTCTATGTTCCTCTCTCCCTCTCTCTCTCTCTATCTATTTCTTGCTCTTTCAACATCTCTCGTTGCGCCGATGTCTTTTTATAAAATTATGAATTTATAATTCGTCCGCACAGAACGGACATGGATAAATAACTCAACACAGTAACACAGTAAATGAAACGGCGCTCACGTGAATATTTTATATACATATATGTATAAATACAAATATTTTCTGTACCGGACATTAGGTTTTAGTGATCGCCCTTTTTAACAATGTAATCTAAAATTTATGAGTTAATGTAGGCGCACACGATGCATGTGGTTGTAATATGAATGAAAAATGGTCTTCAACACGAATAATCCGACCTTAATTCATTGCTTACTTGCAACGAAACTGTGAACTGAAACCTAAGATGCATGCGTCTAGCAACGAACCTTGTACACCCGTCGCCCGACTTAAGTGGAGAATATTTTTGTTTAATGATTCATGCGGACCTATTCATAGTTCTGAATAGACGTTTATGCGGACTCTTAGCTCTGTACCTATAGCAGCAATTTCAAATTTTTGGTCCTATTAAACATTTCGTAAAAGCTTAGAGCATTTACGATTGAACCTCTCTCTTTTCTACTTCAATTTAAGAAGAGAAGAAAGAAGAAGAAGAAGAGTCGAGCATGACTATAATTTCTTATTCGAACAGAGATCACCAACTAAGAACCTATGTACAAAGTTTCCATCGTCAACACCAATAATTACAACAGAACAGAATAGAGGGACAAAGAGAAACGTGATTTCTTACGGCGTCTTGACGATTATATCTCACTAGGTATAGAAATACTATCGCTTTTAAAACTTCAGCATTTCCAGTAAAAGACAATAGAAAGACATGAGGACGCGGCTGTACATTTGGAGAAACATATATATGTTGTCTCTCTGATACCTATTTTTAGATTTTACAAAAAATTGACTGAAAATTTCCCCGATCCCTTCTGCCAGTTATAGCACCGCGCAGTAGGAAAAGCAACATTTATAGAAAGGATGTAAATTTTTAATGCTCAAGAGGACATTGGACATTATTTGCAAAAACAAATTGAGGATTTTCGGAACAACTTTTGTTTAGAATACATCACGATTTGCTTAGCCGGGCAAAACTTTAGTGGCCAAGTAAATCAGGCAAAAGTTTGGCATGAGTGTTTTGGAGCATATCTCGGTCAGCGTTACTTATCATGAAACAATTGGTTTATACTTTGCGATCATGAAGTCACCCAAAAATGCACAAAATTAATTTCATTTATTTGATGCGTGTTACGGGCCTCTTACGTGTAGTCGCACATACTTTAGATATTATGAGCAAATGTTGTTTTTTTTTGTTTTTTTTTTGTTTATTCCCAAAAACAAAAAACAAAAAAAATTTCTATTAAATATTCTCTACAGTGGTGTTAATTGTGGCATGCATAACGAAACGTTAAAGCCAAAAGCTGCATAAAGAAGAGCCTCTAACACGACCACCGTCATCGAAGCAAAACGTATTTATATCAGTCAGCTCTTGTAGCTGTCTTCAAACAACATTACTCTGGTGACAGGCTAGCAACAGAAACACCGTCACCATTCAGTTCGGATTTGAAGAAATCATAAATTTTTTCCACGACATTCCTCCACATTCACGGTACCGTGGAACTCTAAGCAGAGTAGAAACTTTTAGGTTCTTTCATATGCAATAAAAACTCATGCCTTTCGCGCTTTGTTGATTTCTTAATCGTATTTGTTGTTGTTATTTGCGCCGAGCTTTAGTTAAGTTTCAATTAAAATTTCCACGTAGTGACAATTTGTGCAAATTAACTTTTTAAACAAATTAATTAATTAATTAATTAATTAATTTATGACACTTACCTGCCAGTTTTTGTTATTATCATTTCAGTGCCAAGTTCATGAAATTTATCCCATAACTCTTTCGTTTCCAAATGGCACTGCACTGGCAATAGATCATCACAATTACATGAGCCCACAATTTTGGGCGAAGACTGCAAAGAGCAGACATTAAATCTATGTGCTCCTGTTCGTTAGTTATGGAGATTAGCTAACTTTTTGTTTTACCTTCGCTGGCTCCGGAGTCAAGCGTTCCTCTTCCGTATTGCTGGGACTTTGCGATGAGGCTCTCCCTCGACTACTGCTCGAGCTGCTATTGTGATTATTGCTATTATTGCTACCGCTGCAATCATTATGCGTCTGACGTTGCTTATAAATTGATTTATTGGTATTATGATGCCTTGTATGCCGTAAAGCCGATGCTGTCTCTGAATCACTGCAATCGACAACATCCACATCAACTTCGTCATCAGCGTCGGGAAAACGTTCAACCGATAGAGGACCTGTACATATATAAAAACATAAATAATTATTACAACACTGACTCCGATCGGCTTAACCATTGCAGTCTTTTAAAAATTTTATAAACTCTGCGTTTGGAAAACTTAAACCCATTGAAATAAATATTTTTCAGAAAGCATAGCTTGACCTTGCGATCGAGGTAATCAATACTGTGTTTCCTCGATTAGCTCTTCTTACAGGATTATTCTGAGAGAGAGAGAGAGAGCAGAAATAAGAAAGTAAAGAATCAAAGACACTCCAGACACTGATTGAATCGTTCGTTAGAAACAAACGCCACAAGAGGACGAGGTATTACGTTATGTAAGCATTGACTCTACGATTAATTTTATTACCAAATTTCGGCAGATGCCGACCGAAATTTGTCCTCCTGCTTGAAAATGTGTATGATGTGCACGTAACCTGTACAAGTTATGATAATATTATGAAAATTAACGAAAACTGCGACTCTAATGTGTTTTGTCTTTATTTTTGTAAAATGGCTAAAGGGATCTCTTAAGGGGAGACACTACTGTAATAACCTACAAACAATTTCTTTGAGATCGAAGGACATTTAGGAAGATAATGATATTCGGATATGGCTCTTAAGCATATATGTATTATGCATAGGGCTAATTAAAAAAAACTTGAGAACAACCACTACATAGGGAGAGAAGTTAGTGAATTAATAAACATTTTTGAGAACATAAGTACTATTAGTTGTTGAGGAGAATATTTATTTACTTTGTAGGCTTTTCCAAGAGCGTTTCGGCATTAACTATGAAAAAATCAACCTTCGAAAGGCTAAATAATTTCTAGACTATCTGATTAAAAACCAAAAAAAAAGAAGAAATAAATTCAAATAAAAATCTTTTGCGTGACCACAAAAACTCCCACATCTATACATTCATACATTCATAGAAATATTTCCATTTCAAATACAAATCCATTATCCATTAATGAATTCATACATATTTGCTTTGCATAAAACCCAACAAAAGTAATATAATTCGTTGCGGTATAAATGTGTTGTTGTTGTTTTATTTATTTATTTATTTTTTTTTGTATTTGCCATAAATGCCTGAATGCAAATTCAATTGCAACAACATTAACAACATAAACAATATAATCTTTTTCGTTTATTTGTACGAGAAAACACAACATCATGTTAATATAAATGTGTGTAAGTATGTATATTAAATGTACACGCGAAAGCCACATACACTTGCTGTTGCATTTGCATGCATTTGATACATTTTTAATAGGATGCTGTAGAAAATTTACACAATTTCACATAAAATTATCTCTTCATGCACTCATGTGCATCTCATGTACACACACACGCATATATATCCGCGCATATGTATGTTTGCAACGACATTGCTATTCTCATCGTCATTAGCGGTTTGTTGCTGATTATAATGATGTTCAGAATATAATTTATTTTATTTGTTAAACACTTTTAACATATAAACAACAAGAAACGATTGATAAATAAATTCAAATAACTTTTAATATAAATAAATATTTCAATAAATCGCAATATTCAGTTCGCTATTCATTAATATTTCAGACATTGGATTGCTTTATTGTATACACATATATATATATATATTTCATCGCATTTATATATGCGTTTAGTTTTCACGCAAGCAACATGCACATTAATTATAGCAATATTAACAAACAATAATTTTATTATTAACAATTTTTAAAATGCTTTATTAATTTTCTCGTTAATCACAATGATCAGCGGAACACAAGTTTGTGCTTACAATACTTGCATAAGAACTTTTCATCACTTAATATTTAATTTCATTCTAAATTAAAAGAGAAAACTAAATTAAGCGAAAAAATCATTTCTAAGAATATTAAACGCTTTCAGGTTAAAAGTTGAGATCAAAGCTAAACGGGAAATCTATAAATTATTGGTTTTCCGAACGATTATAAAAATTAAAAATGACTTAATTCATACGCAAGATTTGACCGAGTTTCGCTATACGGTGCCGAACATTTTTATATTGAAAACTCGCGATGTCATGACCTTTGACACATCACTTAGTGATTCATTTGGTTGAATCACACTGTAATACATCACGCCCAATTAACCCATCCCCCCATACAATGGGGTCGCTACATATTTTCGGGTTTATCGTCGATATTAAAGGTCCGCCTTCTCCACATCACGGTTACTGGGGATTAGTTAGTATTCCATAGCACCACGAACTACGCCTGTTTAAAGCTCTACGAAACTACATTGTATACGCTTTAGTGTGATCGTTTATGCAGTTGCATACATTTTAAAATGAAGAGGTCGCAGTTTCATTCTGCCCTCCACCGCACTGCTGACACTTTCTCTTAGAAAGCGAAACGAACTAATTTGTACTCTCAATATGTTAGGCATCGGGTTGTGCCAAGACTAGGCTGTGTCACGTATATATGACGATTGATAGCGAATGAGGTAATATTTAGTTAGATACGAATATTGCATATCTTAAGGATGCGTGGATTTGCTACATTCATAGCATATTTATGTTTTTTTAAAACAAGGTATTTTTAAAGCCACTTGTTTGATCCTCATTACTGACATTTGGTCACGGGGTCTGAACGATAAATAATTTGAGGAAAAATATCCAAACGCTTTAAGTGAATTTTGATTGTATGGTCTCTTGATCGTCATATTTTCGTGTCAGTATTTTTGCACCTTCAAAGCAAAATTTGGTATTCTCGAGAAAGAGTCGAAATAACACTCTTCAATATCAGTTTTGTTATAAATTGAGATTCCCAAGTCACGAAAAACACAAACAAAAAAATACCTTGTACCTTGTGACACCTATGTGACATTGCACAGTATACGGCTGATAAGCTGTGTGAACAATATCATAACGTAATTTGTTTAAAAAACTCCTTTAAACCGTCTTCCCGTCTTCGCTGGCAATGATGTCACTTTTCAAAATCCTCTACGAATTGCTTTCTCTAAAAAAGCGGCTTGTACACGATTTTTACTAAAGCGAAAAATGCTCATCTCAAGTTTTGTGCTTCCAGCGCAATGTCGCAATTGATAATTTCGGGATATATTATAAAATGTATACGGTATCACTTGGGAGATACTAAGAAAGGCTCTTCAATGACTCAAGATTTGCCTTACATCGGTCGGAAGTGAATATGCAAACATAAATTAATCCCCCTGGAGAATAATCATTCAACGGGGGAAACGACTTATTATGGCAATATATTTAACTAACTTGTTAGCGATTGTTTCATTGATGGCTTGAAACACGTTGCAGAAAGTATTGCTTTGAAGGAAATTGGTTTTCTTCATTCTTATGAACGAGCCTTCTGGCCAAAAAGTGGATCAATGCCTTCTAGTCGTGATGCAATAATTGACAATTGTCACCATATAAATCTGGCGAAGAATCTTTTACCAGTTTTCAATATCGGCTAAGTGATCCGCTTACCTTTAAAATCCATACTTTGTAAATTTATTTACAAAATGTATAGACATAAATAAATTAAACTCAAATAGTATACTTCGTCAATAGTTCACTTCGAAACAGTCCACAACATAACATGAAATTGTAAAATAGTCGAAAAAACCAACGTTTTACCGCCTTTCGATGTAAGAGTATCAATAGAGTAAGTATATGAGTATATAAATATCAAGAGTGCGATGAATGGACGAACCATTCGCTTGTATTCGGGTCTAATTTCCGCTTCAATCTTAAGATACCTATCTAAATAGAAACACTTTTCGTTACATACGTGTCGGTAAAGGCGTAACACTTTATCGATTGAGCGCACGGTCATTAGATTGATGCCATTCACTATTCCCTCTCTATCTATTTCTGCCCATCGCTACATGGCATGTAAACGAGACATCCCTGGAATGATTAGTCATACAATTATACGACGGATTATTGACGACTAGTGGGCTTTAGATAGTGTCAACCTTTGAACGAAATATGTTGAAATGTATGATATTTTGACCGCAACTTGAAAAGTTTTACTTGCTTTGGTGGCATTACGTTGACACAAGTAATTCGCAATTTTCCATTGTTTCGCAAAACCAAAACTAGTATGGAAATGTCAAGATATTTTGAATGTTGATCTTGTCTCAAAATCAAGATTAACGTCTTTTGTATGCCATCCTATGAACTTATTGAGTGATGCACTACATACATGGAGTATAATTGTACATAGTCGAAATGAAACATGGGAGAAATTTTTATTTCTTATATTGTTTGCTTATTTTATGGCCAAAATAAATGATGTTTTGAGGAAGCTAGACTTACAAAGTTATTATGAATATATTGGGGCTATAACTATCACATTAACGTCCGCGCATTTGAAAAGTTAACTTTCAATGCGACTATAAATGTTAGATAATATATTCGTAATATATTCGTGTATAATGTGTGTATATGTGTATATGTTTGTTTATTTGTACTCTATTAGGGCCTTTGATTTTAAATATTTCCTTACTTAGATATTTGCACGTCATCCATTCAGTGTACACTTGTTGTCTGTCAGTTGCATTTTTCTTGAATATCATGTTATTGTTGATTTAGATGTTAAGATCTTTTATATGTTATGAATATGTATACAATTCATATTCATTCAAGACATTGTTGTTGCTCGTTCTGATTGCCAGAACTAAAATTGTTCATGTTGAACGAAAAACATTAAACGAACATAAGCTGTTGTGTGATTATTATCATTTCACACTTCTCTTTAATTATTCTTCAGATGGTTGTTGCCTTTTTTTCTTACCTCAAAAATACATTCTAATTTAAGTTGAGTTTAAATTTTATTTATTTTTTTTCTTTGAATTAAATTTGAACAATGGAAAGAAATGGGTATGAAAATTCCCGCCCGTGAGTATTATTGGTATAAAATACTCTGCGTAACAAAATAGAAGAGTTTGCGGATAACTAAAAGGAAGCTGTATGCAAAAAAATTCAGCCGAATTATATAAAACTAATAATAGACTACGTTCCAGCGGTAA